GATTTCTCCCTTCATGGCAAACTATGGGTTCCAACCTGCTGTATTGCCTGAGTTGTTCGCACCACAGGACATTCCGGCTGTGGATAACCATCTTGCTGCCCTGCGTTCCTCTTGGGGGCAGATCCAGAGGTCCTTTCAGGACTCAGCTCAGCGCCAGAAGCTCCAGGCTGATCGTAGACGGTTGCCCGCTCCTTCATACCAGGTCGGAGATCGGGTGTGGCTTTCCACTCGTAACCTCAATCTTCGGGTGCCCGCACCGAAACTGGCTCCCCGTTTTGTTGGTCCTTTCCGCATCCTCTGCGGGGTGAACCCGGTTGCCTATGCCCTTGCTCTTCCTCCTGGGATGCGTATCTTTAATGTCTTCCACGTATCCCTGTTGAAGCCTCTGGTCTGTAATCGCTTTACTGCCTCTCTGCCTCAGCCTCATCCTATCCGGGTTGACGGTCATGAGGAGTATGAGGTGAGCCGCATCCTGGACTCTCGGGTGGTCCATGGTCGGGTGCAGTTCCTGGTCCATTGGCGTGGTTATGGTCCCGAGGAGCGTTCCTGGGTTCCTTCCGCGGATGTTCATGCTCCTGTCCTCCTCCGCGATTTTCACACCCACTTTCCCCAGAAGCCTTATGTTGAGCCGCGGAGGGGGAGGGGCCCTTGAGGAGGAGGAACTGTCAAGGTCCTACCTTTCCTCAGGGTTTGTGCTGCTCCATGTGCTGGCATCCATCTTAGGTGTCTGCAAAGCATTGTGGGATCCTTTATGCTAACTATGAATTCCAATGTTGTACCGCGCTCCAATATTATTAACCTTTAGTGATTATGTGAATCTCTTAATATACCACCTATAATCCAATCATTTCTTACATCTAAAATACTTAAATATACAATTGATATATATATATGTAAATTAAATCATATTGTAAATAAAAAAAAATTAATCCGTATCAAAAAATTAAATGTGAATAAAATGAAAATTCATGAAAAATTAATAAAAAGTGAAAAATAAAAATGTCAATTATATATAAATAGAAAAAAATTTAATTAAAAAATGGGAATGTCAATCCTTTTCTTTAAAATTGAGATGGTGTTGTTATTCAATTTAATTAATGTGATATGTCTGTGTTCACAGCTTGAACCTCTCTCTCCTGTCTCCTCTCCTCTCTCCTCAGCACAGCCTTCTTAAATGTGCTTTCTTCACTGACTGCTTCATTTATTCCTCCATATACGGAACATGCAGAGAAGGGAAAAGAAACATAGTGTCTTATCCGGGATATAAATGATTTATTGCTCTTTGATCTCCCACTCACATTGTGTAAATATAAATAGCGCTTTGCATACAATGTATCCAGATCGTGCTTCAGACAGCCTGGCTGGTGTGTTTGCTTTCAGTAAGTATACTCGCCGTTCCTCTGTTCCTCTGTGGAAGCGTGATGACGTCACTGCCCCTAAGGGGAGGGGCGGTGACGTCATCACGTATCACTGTATATTTAAGTATTTTAGATGTAAGAAATGATTGGATTATAGGTGGTATATTAAGAGATTCACATAATCACTAAAGGTTAATAATATTGGAGCGCGGTACAACATTGGAATTCATAGTTTACATTCACACACCTAGAGAGGGTGTAATTAGTGCCTAGCGATCTAATATTGATTTAAGTACACAATTAATAAAACACTATAAGAGTATCACATATTAATTTTTCTTTATATGAAATTGATTTAATAATAGAGTAGGTTAACTCCAGGTGGCTCACAAGTAATTATTTCATTATAATGGGATCCTTTATGCTGTCAGCCCTCTGCGGCTCCTCCCCCAGGAGGTGGCGGCTTATCACATAAAAGTCTGCTGTTTGTAGCTGTCCATTGCATTCGTGTCCTGTCTGTTGCACAGCAGCAAGCTCCTGTTTAGTTTCTCATTGCACTCCTGGATACTGACTTGGCTTTGGCAAGACTCCTTCCTGGCTTCTGACCCCGACTCTGGCGACCATCCTTCCTGGCTTCTGACCCCGGCTCTGGAGATCATCCTTCCTGGCTTCTGACCCCGGCTCTGGCGATCATCCTTCCTGGCTTCTGACCCCGGCTCTGGCGATCATCCTTCCTGGCTTCTGACCCCAGCTCTGGCAACCATCCTTTCTGGCTACTGTCCTACCAAGTCATCCGCTGTTGCTGTTGGACTTGCATAGACTCTGTCTTGTGTTGTATAATAAACCTACCTTTAATTGCACCTCCTTGTGTTTCTGGCTCCTCGCTCTCTGACAGATACTAAATAACCTTATTCTACAAAAATAATGCATACACACCCACTATTTAATGGCCCTGTAATCTATTTTTCATTAAAATTGTGAAATAGTTGTGGTCATGTGCACTGTACTATGCACACTACAAATCCCATAGTCCCCTTGTCTTGTCCTTTGACCCCTACTCTTCTCCATCTACCATCTCTATGCTGATGACACACAAATCTATCTTTCTACTCCTCACCTCACCCCTTCAGTCTCCTCTTGTATTACTCACCTACTAAGTGACATATCAGCATGGAAGTCACTCCACTTCCTCAAACGCAATCTTTCCAAAACTGAGCTCTTAGTATTCCCTCCAACCCGTGCCCCCTCCCCTGCCTTCTCCATCAAACTCAATAACACAACCATCAGTCACTCCCCTCATGCCAGGGTGCTAGGTGTAATCCTAGACTCCCATCTGTCCTTTTAGCCCCAAATCCAATCGCTGTCCAAATCTTGTAGACTTCACCTCCGCAACATCCCCAAGATATGCCCGTTCTTAACCTCTGAAACTACTAAGCAACTTATTCACTCCCTTGTTATCTCTCGCCTTGACTATTGTAACTCCTTCCTCATTGGCCTACCTCATCGCAGGCTATCCCCTCTTCAGTCTATCATGAATGCTGCTGCCATACTCACTCACCTTACTAACCGTTCCGTATCTGCCACCCCTCTCTGCCAATCCCTCCACTGGCTTCCCATTGCCCAACGGATAAAATTAAAAACATTAACAATAACATATAAAGCCATTTATAACTCTGCCCCAAAGTACATCACCAATCTTGTCTCCAAATATCACCCAAACCGTACTCTCTGTTCTCTAGCTCCCTTGTCTCCTCCTCCCATGCTCGTCTCCAGGACTTCTCCAGAGCTTCCCCCATCATCTGGAACTCTCTTCCCCAATTTATCAGACTATCGCCTACTCTGCTCACTTTTAGGCAATCTCTGAAAACCTATCTCTTCAGGGAAGCCTGTCCTGCCCTCAGCTAATAATGGAATCTTCTACTCCTCCTACTAGTCCATCCCCCACAGTTACTACCTTTTGTACCACTAGCCCCTCCCTCTTAGATTGTAAGCTGCAAGGAGCAGGGCCCTCCTAACCCTCTTGTATTGAACTGTATTGTTGCTGTATTGTCTCCCGTTATATTGTAAAGCGCTGACAAAACTGCTGGTGCTATATAAATCCTGTATAATAATAATCATCTGGGAAGAAAGTAAGAGAGGGTGACTATGTTCCTACATACAAAGGGACCATGTAGCCACATAACCACCCTCTAACAGGAAGCTGGAACAGAACATGGATTCAGAAATTTGGGGGAGGCTGACAAAACATTTGAGTTAAGAGTTTAGTGTCACTTAAAAGATGCTGGCCCTTCCCATAACATCTTGGTCTTTGTTGCAGCAGGGTTCAGAAGCATTCACTCTGTTGTACTGATAAGTCAATATTCTCTCACCACGATCCAAATTGAAGAAAAACGTTACTGTTAGGAGTGTGTCAACAGGGCTCACAGCAGTTGAATCAATAACCATGCCTTGGTTCAGACAGGGAATTCTTGACCCTCTTTGCTTGCTCATGCAACAAAGATCACATTGATTGTAGGAGATGTTGGGGAAGCACTTTTTTACTGGATATGTTTAATAGCAAAAAGTCAAAAATACTGTTTTTTTTTCCCAAAATTGTCGGGTTTTTTTTTGTTTATAGTGCAAAAAAATAAAAAACGCAGAGGCAATCAAATACCACCCAAAAGAAAAAAAGCTCCATTTGTGGGAAAAAAAGGACATACATTTAATTTGGGTGTAGTGTTACATGACCATGCAATTGTCAGTTAAAGTAACACAGCTCTGTATCGCAAAGAATGACCTGGTCAGGAAGGGGGGGTAAATCCTCTGGAGGGCAAGTGGTTAAAGTATATATTGACTACAGTAAAATTTGAGAAAACCCCACAATATATTTGTTATGTGTTCCCATTCATACAGCATGCCTAAAAATTTATTTTTTTTAAATATTTATTTTTGGATATTTCCCATGAGGATGTGTCATAGCTTATTGCAAGGTTTTTTGAACAATGTTAGAGTGAGGATGTCCCAAGTCTGTCCTCATTAACATACAATTCAAGAAGCCCAGCCTCTACACCTTTATCCCTTTGTTAGGACAGACAGCATTCTAGTTTATAACATAATAAATGTGCTACGCTTAATAACTTATTGATATGTGATAAATCAAATTCAAAGCATTACAGTAAAAAAAATTAAACAAAAAACATAACGTACATCAAAGTGATAAGTCAATGGATGAAAAAAGTTTGATTTGTGTCACGCTTTCTTGAAAAACAACATCAATGTGTGCACCACCCTGTGGCAAAAAAAATAAAATTGACTTCAATTCACTCAATCCAGTAAATCATCCAAAATATGTGAAGAACTGTGTTTCCAAACCATAAAGCCTCCACCGACCACCCAAAAGTGTCTGCTCACCTTTAATAAAGGCCTTCTCAACAAAGGTCAAATGTTTGTGTTAAACACCGAAATTCAGGTAAGTGTACTTGCATGGTTCTGTACATTTGTCTTGTCCCATACACTCCTATATTAGCACCTGTGAGGAATGTATGTATAAAGTTGCTGGAAAAATCTTGTCATGCAAAAAGAGGACAGGTAATTATCTAAAATGACCAAAAGGGGTTTGAATCATTGAGAAGCTTATCATAATTATCTTTGTATTTCTCATAGGATGGTACATTTCTGGTAAGAAACTGCTCACAGGTATCTGTTTCACAGCCATATGTTCTTATGGTGCTGTATAAAAATAAAGTCTACAATGTGCGCATTCGCTACAACCAAGAAAGCCAAGTATACCTTCTAGGATCAGGAGGACATGAGGTACAGTATGTTTTATTATGTAAAAAATAATTTTCCAAAATGTAAGATGAAAATCAATGCTTGCATGAATCTTCCTTCACTGATTATGCTAAGTTGGGTTAGAATTCATCTAAACAAATATACTTTCCCCACCAAGTCAGTGCATAAATTGATGGGGTATCTCTATTACTAGGACACACACAGAAACAAACACATATTTTATAGAGTGAGGAAGGATTAAAACTTCTGACAATTTTTATTGCTGTCCAATCTTTCCAATACCAGGGAAAAAAACAACACCCTCACATTTCTTGTACAGGTGCTACAGAAAGGGAGGTAAAAATCTCCCCAGTGGGGTAACAGACAGAACGTAAGTAAAGATGTACATTTTAGGAAATGCATAAAGGGTAATATACAATAAGTAAAAATATGATTTTTGTACTTACTGCAAAATATTTTTTCTTGAAGTCTTGAGGCACAAGAATGTATTAATTCTTAGACAGGGGTTATACAGTGGCTGACTTAAAAACATTAGACTTGTCCACATATAAAACAAAACAAAATAAAAAAATGGCTACTGTCCCAGTCTTTAACTGGCCTTCACATCAAGGAGCACATGGAAGGCTGACGCATGTCAAACAACAAAAGAGAAAAATTCCCAGCTCAGCTTGCCAACCAGACTGCAAACAAACCAAATTAGCCTGTCTAAGAGTATGTATTAAAAACAGAGGTTTAGTTAGCACACATTTGCAAATACATGCGTAAGCGACAGAGCCTTATCATGGCACCCCGATATTCTGTAGTTCCTAACTCTACAAATTTTGAGAGCCCTCATTGTAGAGGCACATATATTTAATGGGTGGACCTGAGGGAGTCCACCCCTCCTTAAAGGTATAGGAGTGCACTGGACATCCAGCATATAGCACAATGGCAGCCCACATTGTCCACATATAACCCTGCCTCCAACTGTTATGCCTCTGTTTTGTAAGCAAGCATTGTATAAGGTCAATAAAACAGAGGGATGGGACTTCTGTTTTTCAATGAACTTCCAAGGAAAATATTTTACAGTAAGTACAAAAATCAAATATTTTATATCATCCATTGAAGGACACAGGAATAAAGTAATTCTTAGACATTTGGTATTACCAAAAGCAAAGGGAGAAACAGGAACTGAGAAATCCAACATACGTTGTGTAAATCTCACTAAAAAAAGTGTCTTAAGGAGCTATGCCTGAATGAAGGCTTTATGAAAAAGGGTGAAAACAAATACAAAATTGCCAATATCAAAGAAAGGACACCAAGGATCAACCTGGTGTTCCAGACCAGGACACCACTAAGGGGAAACTGCTACCTTAAAGAATGGCAAACCTCAATTAACTATGTGGAGGACACCCAGTCATGCACCATAAGAAACCAGGTGGAACTATAACTACCTGAACAGGAGTATCAAATTTAGACCAGCACAAGGTATTGAACAAAAAAGCTGTATAGTGGAGTAAAGACCGAAGCCCAGGATCCCTAAGGCTGGGTTCACAGCTAGAGTCTCATGAATGCACCTTTTTGCATGCATTTTATTTTGTGCATGCATTTTTATGTATGTGTTTCCTTTCTACATGCATAAGATATTACATTAATTTCAAAAGGTTGCCCTACTCATGATAAACATGCCAAAGAAACTCATTTACCTTTTTGGGCAATGAGCTTTGAGTGTTTTTTAACCATGTAAATAAAATAGAAACATAGAAGAGCGATGGCAAAAAAAGACCAAGTGATCCATTTATTCTGGCCCATTTTTGTCTGAGTATAGATCTATGTTTGTCCCAGTCATGTTTGAATCCACTTACTGTTGACTGACTCACTACCTTTGCTGGAAATTTGTTCCAAGCATCAACTACCCTTTTGGTAAAATAATTATTTTTGAAGATTAGTTTTGAAATTTCCTCCTGCCAGTTTGTCATGTCCTCCTGTTTTTGATCTTGGCAAATACTGCCCTACTAAACCTTGTTCACCCCCTTAATTTATTTGAAGATTTCAATCATGTCTCGCCTTTCCATTCTTTTCTGTAGACTGTACATATTAGATTCCCGAAGTCTCTCCTGAATTGTTTTATCACTCAGACCTTTGCCATTTTTGTTTCCCATCTCTGGACTTTGTTCTATCTTTTCACTAGCTCTTCAGAACTGGACGTAGTATTCTAAATGAGGTCTGACTAGAATTATTTTTGCTTTTCCCACTGCTTGGTCACACTGTTTGCTCATTTTGCAATTATCTGAAATAAATACTCCCAAATGTTTGTCCTCTGTAGTGCTGGCCAACACTGTACCCCCAAGATTGTACTCTGTCAAAAGAATCATTTTCTCTGGGTGCATTATTTTGCATTTAGAAACACTGAACTGGCGTTCCAATGGTTTTGATCTTTTTCCAGCAATGTCAAATCATGTTCCATGTTACAGACACCTCCAGGGATATCAACCCTATTGCACACCTTTGTGTCAGCAGCCAAATACATACCTTACCCACCAACCCTTTAGTTATATCGCTTACATATAGATTAAATAGAACAAAACGTAGTACAGAGCCTTGTGGCACAGTCCTGGTGGCTGGTCTGTGTTCTGAATGAACCATACAACCATACTCTAGTATCTATCCTTTAGCCAACTGCATATCCACTGGAGAACTCAAGGGTTAAGTCCTAGCTTGTACAACTTTTTTATTAGATCATTATGTGGAACTGTATCAAATGCTTTGCTGCAATTAAGATATGCTATGTCCAGAGCATTACCCTGGTCCATAATATTAGTGATAAAAATAAAATACAATCAGATTAGTCTGACATGATCTGCCCTCATTAAAGCCATGATGCTTTGGGTCCAGCAATTTGTGTGTTTTTAAGTGATCAACGATCCAACTTTTTAGATGTGATTCCATTTACTTCACTACAACAGATGTTCAGCTCACTGGCCTGTAATTGCAACCTTCTACCTTGCTTCCCTTCTTGTGAATAGGTACAATATTAGCTGTCTGCCAGTCATGGGGAGCTTCTTCTGTTAGAAGAGATTGATTAAAAACATCCGTTAATGGTCTAACAACCATACACAGAGAAATATACAAAAAATCCCTGTGCTACTCACCAGCCATTACAGTAAACAGCTAATATCTATGGGGAGCTGCTACCACTAATATGTGCAATCACACCACATTTCTTCGAAATACCTAATATGTAGAAAAATAGTGAAGCATTCAGACTCTTAATAATCCATAGCCCCAATGTAAAAATATAAATAAAAACTGCAATGCTGTGTGTTACCACATTACATCCTTAATTTTAGATCTGTTGGCATGGGCCTTAGAGTATGCACCTGCTGGTTACAGGAGAGTGTCCAAAGGGTTGTGATAAATAGCATGTGGTCAGAAAGGTTTGGAGTGGTAAGTGGGGTGCCCCATGGCTCTGTCTTGGGACCAATTCTGTTTAATTTACTCTTCAATTGTATAGAAGTAGGCATAAATAGCTCAATTGCAGTGTTTGCTGACGATACAAAGATAAGCAGGGCAATAATGTTAGAGCAGGATATAGAAACTTTACAATAAAATAATGGGGTGGGCAACTACATAGTAAATTAAGTTCAATGTTGACAAATGTAAAGTAATGCACTTGAGGGTTAAAAATATAAGGTTACCTGTTAGGGAGAGAACTTTTGGGGGAATCCAGGATGGAAAAAAGATCACAGAAGTAGATCACAGGTTCAGCAATGACATGCAATGCCAAGCTGCAGCAGGCAAAGCAAGCAGGGTTTTAATGGCATGCATTAAAAGGGTATTTTGTTTCAAGAGATAACACTATAATTTTTACTACTTTACAAAACTGTGGTCCGGCCACATCTTGAGTATGCTTCCCAATTCTGATCACCAGAAGAGACATTTGAAAGGAGATATGATAAAGATATGATAGCAATAATTAAAAATACCTCAATGATGATTCTAGCATAGGGAAAAATCTGTTCAGTTTCAGAGATCTTAGACCACTCAATGAAATTGGAGAAGCAGTTTAACCCTAAACTGTGTTAGAGTTTTTTTCACTGTGAAAGTGGTAAGGATGTGGAACTTCCTTCCACAATCAGTGGTGTAATGGGGAAGTGTTGATAGTTTAAAAAAAACTCTTTGATGAGCATCTTAGCAAATGCCATATATAGGGATGTGGGAAATGGTATTAACATACACACACACACACACACAAACATCCACATGTACACAGGTTGAACTGTATATACTGGTGTCTTTATTCAACCTTACCATCTTTGTAAATTATACATGTGATCACATATTGGACATATAAAGGGCATATGTGTCTCCGCAAATACAGTGCATGTGCATTAACATTAATCTGTTTACAGACAGTAGAGTGCATCAGTGCTTTTTCATCCACAGAAAAAACCATGACAAGTCCACCAAGTCTCAGCGATTGAATATGCACATCACACCATATATCATATAATCTTGAAATTGAATTACAAATTGAATCTTTTCAGTGGAAAAACAAACACCACCACAGTGCTCAAATGGGTGTATCCTCACCTTCTATGATGGACCTCACCACTTTGTTAGGAGGTCTAATATCACTTTAACAAAACTGTCCACAGCCGCCAGATCTTCCTCCTAGGGTTTAAGGAGTAAATGACCTTCTAGTTAAAGAATCTCACAGGACACTCCAATCACCAGAACTTCTCCAGTGATCACCGTCAGTAGAAGGTATGGAAGCCGGCACAGCCCATACTACACCAGGGTTCCCCAGGGAAGCCCAGTCCTTAGCCACACAAACCCTCACATTTGTTTTAATCTGCTGAGGACAGAAATGCTCCTCATCAATTGTATATCTGCCCCATTTCTCAGTTTAAATGATTGTTGAAAAAAACCTAGGAATTTCATACTAAGAAGCTCAGTGCCCTTGTGTGAGAGATACAGACCATCTTTTTTACAGCTCAATATCAGACCACCTGCTAGCATCATGATTAACATAACCAAAACCTTTAGCTTTGTACCAATCTTTGAAACAAGCATTGAACTCTGCTATACAAAGGACCTTTCCATGTTGTGCATATGGTAGGTAAGACTTCTGAAAATGCAAGAGTGCACCGTAATGTGTGAAGATCCTGGCCAAAATTCTGAAAATCCTTCTGTACAGAATGCACATTATTTTGGGATAAATTATTTGTGCCAAGGTGTACAACAACATTGACACTGCACTCTTCACTAACTTTCTTGACAAAATCTAAATTGCACCTTTTACCTCTCCAAATAGTAGCATCAGATAAACACCTAACTTCCATGTACACCAATACATGATTTCCTAAAGAAACACCTCTTATAACTGAATTGCCAACAAGAAGGTAGCTTCTCCTTTTTAGGAACCTTATCCACAATACAACATGGTATGCAACATCAGATACAAAAGTTACTTTTCATATTGGTGATTGCTTACTTATTGTACCTAAATGTGATAGGCAGAAAGCCCAAGCATCCTGCACATTTGACCAGACATTACGCCCTTGTGAGACACAAACTTTGATGCTTGCAAGACACCATTACAGTTAAAGCACAGGGCACCAGACCATTGTTCAAAAAAGACATGAGGGCGTATCATCTCATTAAAGAGAGCTGATCCACATCGACACAAATTCAGAAACCTTGGTTAACCACCAATGAATAGTGGATTGGTGGATAGCTGTACCAGATATCTCAAACTGAGGTCTAAACATCATCAACCTGTTTGTTGGTATGTATGTTAACATGGATGACTGTTGAAATAGAGGACTGGATTGTCTACAGTGGGTAGAGACCACTTATCAGTAAACTCCCATTCAAAAGGAAAAAAAAGCTTATTAATATTGTCAGGAGGAAGTCCTGACTCCACAGATTTTTTTCAGTTCTTGTATTAGGTTATTACATACCAAGTGTACTGGGAAGGTCTTTGGAACAACAGCTCTAAAAGATTCTGTGACTGAAACAGCTGGCTGATCCTCCATTGCAGGGTAGATTGCATTGCATTAATCATAGTATCAAAGACTCCTTGCAAGCTAAGTCATATGGAACTTGCCAAAAAACAGGATCTTCAAAAGAAGGCTGTGAAGAGTCTGAATCAGAGATTATAATAGTGGCCTCAGGCACACCTAAAGGTGGAATTTCAAAAGGATTAGGATTGTATTCTGTTTTGGAAAGCTCCAGAGTGCGCTTAGAACCCTGCAAGCAGATTGTTTCATTAATTTTGCTCAGACTAATAAGGAATCCAAAGTGGATATTTCAGTGCAGTGGGGTCTGGCTAGGTCATTCAAATGCCGGTCTACTTCAAGCTGGATGGTCCTTATCAGTCTTTAAAGTGGGTCAGCCCATGGACTGGGTGTGGCCCTTTACTTGTCTTTATCTGGCCCTTGGGGCACTATTCCCATGGACATCAATTATGTAAATGTATTTACTTCCTCTGACCACCAAGTCTATGGCATTGTTTACTCTCACTAATGCCAGGGCATTTTTTATTCTTACTGGCCAACTGACAGGAAAATTAATATCTTTTTAAGCATCCAACACAAGCAATTGTATACTTATTATAACCTTTCGGTTATTATTATATAGTTGATCTTTTATACTGTATGTAAACCTATTGATGAGTGAGTTTGCAAAATTAGGTTCAACCCAATATGGTACAGTTATAGAAAAAATTAACTGAATTCAATTTTTGCATCTGAACAGTATTGAAACCAAACCAAACTAATTTTGGGGGGCTGCTAGGCAAGATAGTGTGATGCAAATGGCATGGGAAGTGCCTCTCCTTTCCATAGTCACTTAGTGCTTAGATTCTTTTTTTTTAGGTCTATATTTTACTGTTATTTAATTTTTTGTACAAAAATGGCCACTGCCCCAGTCTATAACTGGCCTCCCAGCAAGGAGCCCAAGAAAGGGCGATGCATGTCAAACAACAAAAAAGAAAAATTCCAGACTCAAGTAGCCAGCCAGAGTGCAAACAAACCGGATTGACCTGTCAGTATGCGTTAAAAACAGGGGTTTAGTTAGCACACATTTGCAAATACATGCGTAAGCTACAGAGCCTAGTTTTGTAGTCCTAACTCTACAAATTTTGAGAGCCCCCATAGTAATGGTACATGCATTTTGCTGCATGCTGGGTGTCCAGTGCACTCCTGTACCTATAAGGAGGGGTGGGCTCCCTCAGGTCCACCTGCCCTTGGTCTATCCATTACGATCAGACAAAAAAGTAAATTAAAAAAAATGGCCAGTCTCGATGGATCACTCGGTCTCTTTTCTTCCATCACTTTTCTGTTTTCTATGTTCTATGTTTCTAACATAAAATTGTGTTTTAAAAAAGTCACAATTTGCTATATGGACTTTTTTTCCTCAACCAGCAACAAGATACACCATAAAACAAACAACAAACAAAAAAGAGAGTTCAATTGATTTTCTGTGTATTTTTCTCTTTTTTTTGAAGGTTTGTAAACAGCAAAAAAAGATCTGAATTGGCTGGCAGAGCATCTTAATTTCCAAAAATAAGACATGCATCATTTTTTTTTAGCACATGTGCATTGTGATTCCCTTGCATTTGTATGCTGGCTGCTACTCTGCAGTGAATTGGGGTGCTATTCAAGATGAACACAGAAGATAGAATATAGCAAATGTTTCTTTAGCAAACAACATTGCAAACATCCATGTAATGACCTATGATTTATAAACACAAATTACTTTTCCTATGTTTTTAAGAGACACAAGCCAATATTATAGTAAACTGTGCTCTAATGAAACACCATGGTATATATATATATAAATGTTTCCGTTACTTTTATTATAAATACATTTTTGCTTATTGTCACCCTACAGACTTTTAATTCAGTGCCTGAAATCATTGACTTCTTCCGCAGCACGAAGCTTCTTCTTATTGATGGGAAAGATCGAGGTTCAAGACAACATTGCAAACTTACGTGCATAGCTTCCAGAAATGTTCATTAAAACTACTCTGCTGTCATTTTCTTTTTAAAAATCATAGCGCTTATTAAATTATCAGCCCTTCTGAACCACAGGTTTGAAAATATTTGTAAATTCTTTGATCCCTAGGTAATATACCTCACGACGGGCACACGCCAAGTTTAAGGGACCAAATCCTGTGAGATAACCTCCACACCCTTTAGCAAACATCTTCACCTTATACAGCAGTTTTTCCATACCCTGAGCCAGAGAAGAAATCATTGGTATACCCCATCCCTAGCCCCTTCACTCTTTGCCCCCCTTTTCTAATCCCTTTTACATCTTCAGATATGTTAGGTGATTGGTAACAAATGTTCTTAAAATGAAGACAAAATATGACTACAAAGATATGACTTGGAATTATTTCTATGTACAAAAATCAACTTTTTTTATACCAATAGAGAGAGTTAGATTACTGAATATAGAATGCTATGTAACAGTACTGTGAATTACAAAGGTAGCCTGTACTACTGTCATCAACACTTTGTACCTTCTATGGTTTGTTACCTTTAAAATGCTACTTTTAAAGACATTCTAATACTGTTCTTGTTACTCTACAAAACAATAAACATATTGAAATTAAAGGGCTTGCCATTGATTTTTTAATTAACTTGAACTCCAGCCAGGACACTGCCTACATGGAGTTTGCATATTCTCATTGTGCTTGCTTGGGTATTCTGATTTCCTCCCACACTCCAAAGGCATGCTGGTAAGTTAATTGGCTCCTGTCTAAACTACTACTAACACAGTATGTTTTGGTATGCATGTTACGGTAGGGTCATTATATTGTAAGCTTGAGAGCAGGGGCTGAAGTTAGTATACAATATGTAAAGTGCTGCATACATTTTGGTGCTATATAAATACCTATAACCAAGTTTTACACCCTTCATGACCAGGCCATTTTTTTGCTATACCACACTGCGCTATTTTAACTAGTAATTGCACAGTCATGCGACACTGTACCCAAATGAAATTTATATAATTTCTATAATTTTTCACACAAATAGAGCTTTCTTTTAGTGGTATTTGATCACAACTGGGTTTTTTTAATTTTAGCGATATAAACAAAAAATAAGCCTGAAAATGTAAAAAAAAAAACCAATATTTTTTACTTTCTGCTATAAAACATATCCAATAAAACAATTAAAAAAATCTAAGTTCGTCATATATGTTGGGCAAAATGTATTCTTCTACATGTCTTTGATAAAAAAATCCCAATAAGTGTTTAATAATTGGTTTGTGTGAAAGTTATAGTAGCTACAAACTATAGTGTATATATACTGGAATTTTTTTTTATACTACTAATGGTGGTGATCAGCGACTTAAAAATGGGACTGTGGGAGTGCAGTGGGCAATCTGACACTAACTGACTCTAACTGCCACTGATCTCATCAGTGACATTAATACAGTGATCATTGATATTACTATATAGCTGGGAAGGAGTTAACATTTATGGTGATCAAGGGGTTAAATGTGTGCCTAACTATGTGTAATGTGTGTAAAGTGTGCTGCTTTTACTAAACGTTCTCTTAAGTTTCTCATTCCTGCTTTTCAAAACAAACAAAAACAGAAAATTTTGAAAAAAAATCTAAATTTTTTACTTTCTGCTATAAAAAATTTACATGAATAAATGTATTCTGCTACATATTTTTGGTAAAACAAAATCTCAATAAACGTACAGTATATTAATTGGTTTACGTGAAAGTTACAGAGTTTACAAAATAAGGGATATACAGTTGTGTCCAAAATTATTCAACCCCCAATGCTGTAAAGGGGTTTAGGGACTATAGTGTACATTTGGAATTGTATTCAGAATCAAATCCTACAAGGACGTTGTAACTACCCAAATGCAACTAAAATGACATCAATTGTTTATGTAATACAGTAGTAAATGGTTCTTATGTGGTTTCTTCATTGCCACAATTATTCAACCCCTTAAAGACTACCACTCTGAAGAACAGAGGTTCATACAGGTGCTTTCCATCAGGTATTGAAAACACCTGTGGATGTCACCGAGCAGCAATCAAGCATAATAAGCACCAATTAGGCAGCTTTAAAATGACTGTGATACTCAGCTCCTTCTAGACATTTACTGGTGTGGTTACAAACATGGTGAAGGCAAGAGAATGGTCCAGGAAGACAAGAGAAGAGGTGATTTCTCTTCACAGGAAGGGCAATGGCTATAAGAAGATTGCAAAGATGTTAAACATACCAAGAGACACCTTAGGAAGCATCATTCGCAAATTCAAGGCAAAGGGCACTGTTGAAACGCTACCTGGTCGTGGCAGAAAGAAGATGCTGACTTCGACTGCTGTGCGCTACCTGAAGCGTAGAGTGGAGAGAAGTCCCCGTGTGACTGCTGAGGAACTGAGAAAAGATTTGTCAGATGTGGGTACAGAAGTTTCAGCCCAGACAATAAGACGCACACTGCGTAATGAAGGCCTCCGTGCCAGAACTCCCAGGCGTACCCCCTTGCTGTCTCCAAAGAATAAGAAGAGTCGACTGCAGTATGCCAAAAGCCATGTGGACAAACCACAAAAGTTGTGGGATAGTGTTCTGTGGACTGATGAAACAAAAATTAGAACTGTTTGGGCCCATGGATCAACGCTATGTTTGGAGGAGGAAGAACAAGGCCTATGATGAAAAGAACACCTTGCCTACTGTGAAGCATGGTGGAGGGTCAATCATGCTTTGGGGCTGTTTTGCTTCTGCAGGTACAGGGAAGCTTCAGCGTGTGCAAGGTACCATGAATTCTCTTCAGTACCAGGAGATATTGGATGGAAACGTGATGATGCAGTCCGTCACACACCTGAGGCTTGGGAGACGTTGGACCTTTCAACAGGACAATGATCCCAAGCATACCTCCAAGTCCACTAGAGCATGGTTGCAGAGGAAAGGCTGGAACATTTTGGAGTGGCCATCGCAGTCACCAGACTTAAATCCGATTGAGAACCTCTGGTGGGACTTAAAGAAAGCAGTTGCAGTGCGCAAGCCTAAGAATGTGACTGAACTGGAGGCCTTTGCCCATGAAGAATGGGCGAAGATACCCGTAGATCGCTGCAAGACACTTGTGTCAAGCTATGCTTCACGTTTAAAAGCTGTTATAACTGTAAAAGGATGCTGTACTAAGTACTAAGATTGAATGTCACTTGGGGGTTGAATAAAACTGATAATGCTGTGAGCACAGAAAAGACATTTGTGGTTATTTCATTATAACTGTTATGTTATATTTGTCTGACCTACAAGTGCCTCTTTAATGTAAATGTAAGCAAGATGACTGAATGATCAAACAATGTCAAACTGGCCAAAACACTCAATTTCAGTGGGGGTTGAATAATTTTGGACACAACTGTATACTGGAATTTTTTTTTTGTACTAGTCATGGCGGCGATCAGTATAATGGGACTGTGATTGTACGGTGGGTAATCTGACACTAACTGACACTGTGTGGGAACTGACTAAATGACACTGACATCACCAGTGAGACTAATACAGAGTTCAGTACTAATAATATACACTGACACTCTACTAATGACACTGGCTGGGTAGAGGTTAACATCTACAGGTAGTGGCAATCAAAGGGTTAACTGTGTGCTGATTTTACTAAGGCATGTGCCAGGTTTTTATACCCTGCTTCGCAGGGAAACAAAAACCAGCACATCGCTGCTGTCAGGACAGAGCAGTGTGTTGTTTACAATCGCATAACTTTCTCCTGCCATCCGATTTACCGATCGGCGAGTCCTGGCCATAAATCATTGCGCAGGACCCACTGATCGGCTTGTGTTGTAACTAAGCACAGCACAACCAGGGCAGTGGGGGGCTCACCTGTAAGATTTGGATTACATATCAGATAAATGATCCAACACAGAGCGGACACCCTGGAGCTTTATATCTGCGTGGGAAGGTCCACAACTGGTTAAACTTAGTAAAAGCTTTAAATTCACATAACTGCAAGTCATGTGATACAAATTTGTAAATATGATTAGCAATTGTGACACTCGAAGATTCTGACCAAACACAGATATAATAACCATAATGATCCCAGAGAGGTCTAGATTAGTGCTGCCATATACTAGGACATTTATGGCATGTTTTTGGTCTTTTAAAATTTCTCAAACTAAATTATAAATACAAGCTGAATAATATTCATGACAATTATTACTATAATAAAACATCATAACATAAAGAACCATACTTTAACTGACCACGTACAGTATTTTAATGACTACACCTGTAGAAACCTCCACCACCTCAGTCCTGACCTTCTTCACTCTACTACTGAGTGCCTTCATGATAAAATTGCCCCCATGTCCTGCCCAGACCTGGCCACATCTGCGTACAACAACTATCTATCATCCTCCCTGGATGCTCTTGCTCCTCTCTCTACACGCAGAACCAGGCCTCTCCTGTCACAACCCTGGCAAACAGATGACACCAGAAGTCTCAAGAGATGTAGCCGCACTCTTGAGCGAGCATGGTGTAAAACTAAATCCCTGAAAGACTTTACCCTCTACAAATCCACCCTTCTCAAATACAACTCCAGCCTCCACGCTGCTAAGCAAACCTACTACAACATTCTCATCAAGACCCTCTCATCCAATCCTTGTTAACTCTTCTCTACCCTTAATTCCTTACTCCACCCACCACTGCCTCCACCCAACAACTTACTTACTGCATAGGAGATTGCCAGTCGTTTCAAGAACAAGATCGACACAATTCGTGATGAGATCTCCAGTGTCAAGCTTCCTCCTCTTACCAACATACCAGGCCCAACACCACACTCAACACTCTCCTCTTTCGACCCTGTTACCACTGAGGAAGTTACCAAACTCCTTTCCAAGGCCCACTTCACCACCTGTCCCCTGTATCCTGTCCCCTCACGACTGTTGCAGCCTCCTTCCTGCTCTGTCCTAAACTCTCTAACCCACATCTTCAAACTCTCACTCTCCATGGGCACCTTTCCCTCCCCACTCAAACATGCACTG